TGTGTGTGTGTGTACCTCTGCAGGCTGATAATGGGCTCCTCCGCTCTGGCGTTCTCCACTGGATATCGTTCCCTCACGGCGATCTTCACGTCTTCAGCCTCCGCCGTCCGGAAGCGGAGCAGATTCAGGATCATGAATTGATGATCTGTCAGGATGATGTTCCCCTGCGCACACACACAGACACACACACACACACACACACACACACACACACACACACAGACAGACAGACAGACAGACAGACAGACAGACAGACAGACACACACACACACACACACACACACACACACACACAGTTAAGGGCTGATCACACTGCACTGACTTTTGTTTGACAGGAGGAACAGGAGCGCAGTGCTCTTTATTATGTCGGTAGTGTGTGTGTGTGTGTGTGTGTGTGTGTGTGTGTGTGTGTGTGTGTGTTCAGCAGTTAGAGAGTCACTCCGTCATTCAGCTCAGTATAGTCCAGCAGCTGATGATCAGAGCTCCTCTTGCCGTGTGTTCATGGTTTCGGCTGCTGCTGTTGTTTCCGGCTTCTCCTTTGTGTTTTGGCGCTTCACTCTCGCGTTTGTCTTGTTCTGACAGGATCAGATATCAGAGCTCTTCAATGATCACGAGCAGGTTATTAGTGTGAGCTCAAGAAGCTTGTTATTTCAGATATAGACGCGACCATGGCTGTTTCTCAACATGCGTTCTTCAGCGGTCTCGTGTCCTCGTGTAACGTCATCATCAGCTGCCAAAGTTCAGTTCCAAAACTCAAGACCGCAAGAACAGAGGACGCGTGACACTTCCCGCATGTGTTCTGGATATGGAGCACGCACCGATGCAGACTTGAGCACTGAACTCGCTCTGGAAGTCCCTGAAGTCATTGCGACTGGAGGTGGGAAGCGCAGCAGTCTAACCCGATTTATTATTGAAGTGCAGAGATGACACTTATTTAGCTCAGGAGTTTCCCTAAACGAGACGGTGAATATGAACATCAGCATGGACATCTGAATAAAGGAATGAACACATTAAAGGTGCTTCTTTGCTGAAATCGGTAGTAAAATCTGTGTTATTTATGTGGTGCAGAGTATAATGATAAAGTTTTTATGCAGAATATATATTTTGAAAAGGGGAAAACAGTGCATCTCTGTATGAATGCTGCAATGTTTAAATAAGTTTCCATTTAAAATGTGTGAAGAACGCAGCATCTCATTCCTCACAGGCACTGCCCTCGCCCTCTCCTGACTTCGCTCTTTCAAGGACACTTGGCAAGTCCGTTCTCTGCGTTCTTGGAATTGAGAAACAGCACTGGTTAATCCCAGACCAGTCTTCTTCAATTTTTATCTTGTTTAATGTCAACTAACTGCTTAGGAGCGTTATCGCCACCTACTGTACTCACACACTGGACAGGTCAGACTTCCCTATTTCAGTCATCATTTACTTATTATATCGTAATAATAATTTCAACATCTGTGCAGGATTAAACTCAAATGATGTAAATAAAATAATGAGACTTTATTCACATCTCCACACGCAAAGAAGAAAACACAACACAGCGTCTAATTGTAGGATTAAGTGTAATGAAGTAATGGAGGATCGTAATGTTTCATGCTTAGTTAAAATCATTTGGTGTTAAATATTAAATAAAGCAACATTAACATCAATTACTACAGTTCATCAAATTAATACAGTTATAAACTAATACACTGCTGTATCCTTTACTAGAGTGGAGCAGCTGTTAGTGATGTAGACAGATATACTTATTGATTTTATTGTCTTTAACAGTTCATTTGTCTGTATTACTATAATTGTTGCAACTATAATTACCACAGATTACCGGTACTTTATGGCTTAAAAACACCATTTAACAACATCAGAACAACATATGACTGTAAACGACTGCAGAGTTTAATGTGGGAAATCATTATTAAACAGTTATAAGAACATTAAGCCAATAAATACATTTAAATGGATAGAGTAAAACATTACTATAGTGTTATTCGTTTATTAAATCATAATTTCAGCGTGGTGACGTCACCGGCCCGTGAACATGTCCTGCCTGATATCAGACTATCACAGAACAGTAACAGAGATCATTTCAGCATAACTCACTGTTACTCAGCATCAGCA